CGCGGAGGGCAGGCCGTATGGCACGGCTGCAAGTAATGGTGGTTAATATAGCGCATAGCGCCATATTATAGCGCACTATCTCTTCATAACGCATAGCGCGTGCTATGTAAGTAGTCGCCATGGCGCTATGACGCTATGACGCTTTGGCGCTATTCATATCAAGCGGCAGTTAGTTCTAGCAGCAGCGCTGTTGGGAGTAGACGTGTGACGCAAATTTAATCTAGCAGCACGCTATTCATCGCGCGCGAACTAATTTAGTGTTAGACGTTGTTTAGTTAGTGTATACTGTATATTTGTAAGTGATCGAAGGACACAGTTGTCTGCTACAAAAGAAGCCTACCTAATGTTTTTAAATGTAAATAAAATATAGATACAAAAGTGTATATAATAGTGTTTGTAAATAGTTGATTTTTATAAATACAATCAATAAACTTTTGAATACACCTCTAATTGATTTATAATTTATATTAAGGTTAAAATAACGTTTATATCAATTATAATAAAAAAAATGATTAATTTAAAATTATTTTGTTTTAAAAAGTACACGCCTTAAAAATATTTTTAGGATTATAGAAAGTTAGAAAGTCGTAAGCCTGAAAAGTATGAAAAAGCGTTCATTGATTTTTCTTTACCACTTTATTTTATTATAATCTAAAATACCACTTATTACAAAACAATGTTCTTATATAGCACGCGATCTATCCAATGAACGACATCTAATGTAGCGTGCTCCGAGATAAAGCGTGCTGCTAAACTTAACGCGCTTGCCAGCCTCCTACACACTTTTTTATAAATAGCGCGCTATAACATAGCGTATTTAATAGCGCGCTAGAAATTTCTAGTTGATAGTCTGTAGCGTGCTATTGATTTATAGTTATATATATATATATATTATATATATTATATATATATATATATATATATATATATATCGTTTTGAATAACTTTAGCTGCAAGCTGCAAGTGCGCTGCGCATCGCTACTAATACGCCACCGCCGTCTTTACGGCCGGTCGCCGTCCGATTCCGATCGCTACGAAATACTCTGTAACGTTGATCTATTAATTCGTTATCATAAATTCCACTATGAAGCCAAGTTTCTGTCAATATTATTACGGCGCCTCTACACGTTGGCCAACACAGTGGCGAATGTAGTGGCCAATAGCATTGGCCAACGTGTAGACGGGGTGTTTGGGCTTCATTGGTATGCATTGGAACGACGCCCGCAAGTTGGCGCGAGATCCGTGTGGTGTCAGTTTTTTACAAAAGATCAAAGGATTGTTGGCAGAGTTTGGTCGCCGCGTCCACACGTTGGCCGCGAGTTTAGTTTGCTACAAGCTCCCAGAGTGATTACACGCATCTGATTAAAATTTTATATTCACGCTTTGTAGGGTGGATGACCCAATTACCAGTCTTTTAGTGCCAATTTCCACTTTAAACATTCCTACTAATTTAATTCGCGCGATTTAATTATTTTTAAACATTTGTTTTAATCGATAAGCTATTTATAAAAAAAAAATAAACATTTATTTGCAATCAGATTATTACGAGAACAATTTTGAAATAAAAAAAAAAATGAAGCACGTCGTTTATACGTGGTAGAACCATGCAGTTATATTAGAAGTATAGTTGTAGCACGAATGGGTCGGTTCGACCGGGGAAGGACGCTCTGTATAAAATAGTAGCTTAATGCTGCTGTGTTTCGTATAGTGAGTGTAGAGAACCAGAGACACTTTTTAAAGAAAACGAGGCATTTCATCTTAGTCCTCACGGGTGACAACGCATCTGCATTTTGATTCATAATCGAAGATAGATGTAGATGTCTGTGGGCCACAGCAACCACTTACCATCAGGTGAACTGTGTGCTCGTTTGTCACCCTATCCTATATAAAAAAGCGTCGATTTCTTATAGTTTAATCGTGCAAGTTTTCGAATCATCATCATCATTACAGCTCTTCACAAGTCCACTACTGAACATCTTCCTGCACAGATTGCCGCAAAGCATGGTCCTGAGCCACTTTGCTCGTCATGAGTTTTTCATTTATGTTCTAAGTTATATTTAGTACCTATTATTAAGTCAGTATTAATTATATTTATTGCTATTGTTTTTGTCTTTCTCAAAAATTAATTAAATTTCCAAATAAATTATAAGGTGTTTTAATACATCAAATGTCTGATAGAAATGCAAGTACATATTTTGCTAAACTTTAGAATCAAAACCCAATTTTAAAACATAGACTAATCGATTATAACTCCTTTAACTTTAAAATAAGTTAAGTTCTTATTAATGGTATTTATTCCAGTTTATGATGCATGTAAAGATTAAATAAAGCTAATCGTATATCGTATATCTATTTACAACCCCATTAATATCCACTATTATTTTATAATTCTTTTATAAAAACGTTAACCCCACACTAGGATTTTCTCCCGTATCGCGCAGGCAGTTTACAAACATAAATTGCACAAGGACACACATCCAGACCCGAAACAATTATTTGTAGGACATACAAATACTTGTTCCGTGCGGGATCAAACCCGCGGCGCCCGGTGCAGCCACTCATTGCTGAGCCACTGCGCCATGGTGCTTATAAATTCGTCCGCACATTGGCCCGAACCGATGAACGAGTCATTCTCGTGCGCTTGAGGCGCCATTTGTTTCCCACAGACGGCGACCCTCTTGTCATCCCACAACAATTCGGGTTTCGAGCCAAACACTCGTGCCCCCAACAAGTTCACCGCATAGTGGAATACATCCTCAGCGGTTTTTACCCTCGCCGTCAAAAAACCATCGCGGTCTTCTTTGACATTGCCAAGGCATTCGACAGAGTCTGGCACGAGGGCCTTATCTACAAACTGTACGACTTAGGCCTCCCAGATCGTCTCGTTCGCCTTGTAGCCTCCTATCTGAAGGATCGTACCTTTCGTTTTAGACACGAAGGCACGCTATCCTCTACCCGTCAAATAAAAGCCGGTGTCCCTCAAGGCTCTGTGCTTGCTCCCCTCCTATACATACTATTCACCAACGACATCCCTATCCCGTCGAATGGTGTCAAACTAGCCCTTTTTGCAGATGACACAGCCCTTTACTCCAAAGGCAACTCACTACCACAGATTCGGAACAAGATCCAAAAGTCAGTAAGCGACTTAGGAGCTTGGTTCCAAAAATGGCGTATCGACGTAAACCCGGAGAAAAGCTCCGCGGTTTGCTTCGAATATAAACGACGCCGTCTCACCACCACTCCGCCAATCAGGATGTTAGGAACCCCTGTCCCATGGCAAACTAAAGCCAAATACCTAGGCGTCACCCTTGATGCAAGGCTCACTTTCGAGCCCCATATCAAGAAGGTTACTCGCACCGCACGTTTTTACATGGGTAGGCTCAACAGCATGTTGGGCAGACACAGTAAAATGTCCCTCCGCAACAAGCGAACCCTATATAAGGTCTGCATACGACCTGTCATGACCTACGCGGCCCCCATTTTTGCACACGCTAAACCCAAAGCTATCAATGAACTTCAAATAGTTCAAAATCTATTCTGTCGTAGGGCCACTAACTCGCCCATTATGTCCGTAATGCCGACCTACATCGAGACTTAGAGCTCCCAACAATCCAGCAGTTCCTCAAATCACTCTCTGAGAGATTTTTCAAAGCCTCAGAGTCCCACCCAAATCATCTCATTCGTGAGACAGCTGCCTATGCAGCCCCTATCCACACTCGCTATAGTGTGCGCAGACCGAGAAACTCTCTCTCGGACCCCCCCAACAAGCTTTCGGCTGACCTGAACTGCCTCCTGGCGGCTCGGGCCGAGCCTACATAACACATCCATTAATCTGCCTTAGTTAGGCACTTTTCTAAGCGGCTTTACGCCGCTTGCGCCCTCCTTTCTGCCAAGGAGGGTCGCGTTCGTATACGGCTTAGAGATCTCTAGTCAGATCGTTAAGCCAATTACCAAAAGGTTGAGTTTAGTGGGTAAAAGTCTCCACATAACCACGCAGCCGGCTGCGTGGTATGCTATGAGCATTCTCAACCTCCCTCCCCCGCTTTCCGGAGGGTTGCCCATATTTGCTTCGGGCGCAAAAAAAAAAAAAGCCCGAACCGAAGTAAACTGAACGACCTTCCAACGTGTGGACGCCGTCACCAACTCTCGGCCAATATATTCGCCACTGTGTTGGCCAACGTGGCGAATGGAGCGACATTATGTCATAATCGTGAAGTAAAATATTCACAAAAAGAGTGTGCAACTTAGTTCTTAAGCCACGACAGTTCTGATAGTAAATTGATATGTTTTTTATTTCGGAATCCATTAAATAAAAGTTCATAGTTTATTCAGTATTTCATTAGAAATATTGTGAAAAAAAAAATAAGATTAATTTTCGATACACAATTTAAATTAAGTAGATGAGATGAATTTTTAAAATTTCTTTTATCATTGCGCCGTATTTGTGCATAATGATTAATGACTAAAAATATCCTAATTATGTTAATGTTTTGTGTATAATAAATAATTTAAAATTTTGTTGCATAATACATAGCATATTTTAAAGTATAGTTTTATAAAATAGTCTAGAAAATAAGTTACTGACCTTTTTGTAGAAGTAAATGTGCAAACAACAACGTGCTCATATATCAGTACAAAAAATTTAATAATAAAAATAAACGAAAAGAGAATAAAAATAAAATTGATATCAAATTTCTATTACAAATTGTTCTAAAGCTTAATTTTTTTAAGATCCTGTAGTGAGCGTATTGATAAGACAGAAGATGAGTCAGTTTTTCGTACCAAAACTGTACCATAATTGTACCAAACATATTTGTAGTTACATGTTTTGGCCTTTTCACGGGATTCTCGAAAAATCTGTTTATTTTTTAAGGTTAGATGTTCATTTATATATATTTTATTCGATGATCCAGTAATAGACAACTGATCTGAAGTTAAGCCTTTTTTAGCACGGTACGAAGCTACAAAATTACCACGCAAAATTTTGGACTTAAATTTTATTATGGCATTTTAGGTCGTTTATCGTTTTCACCAACATGAGGAACCCGATGGGCCAAAATTATGTCAGACGGTTGGATTTGCTGGTTTATTAGCACGCCAATATTAATAATGACTGTAACAAGATTTTCTCCACGGCGCTCAGGCAAATTTGATATTTCAATGTTACAATCACGTGCCTGTTGCTCCATTGCAGCCAGTGTGGTCTCCATAACCTCTAATTTGTCAGATAAATAGTTGTCTTTAGAGACTTGACTTTCTACGGACTTAAGCCGTGTATCAAACGATATTGACTGCTCATTAAGATCGGATAAAGTAGTATCGACCTCCGACAGATGATTATTTAAATCCATAATACCTTGTTTAAATTAATGTTCTCATCTCGCAGCTCAGATATGGTTGTGTTTAGACTTGATAATGAGTGGGATATTTTAGCCAATTCGTTGGAAATCGTGGAGGTAACTATATTTGTAATAGTTTCCTTAATTTTTACGTCTAATGTATTAAAATGTTCGTCAATCAGTGTGGACTGTGGAATTCCGAGTCATACCCTCCAGTGAAACGCTTACGTGTATTTACATAATTAGCATCCGATGTAGTTAGACTTATGTCTGGGTTTGATGGGCACTTAGGCGGAGTTCTCTGTAACTTGGACATTACGCAAAGTATACTTGCAATATGAGGCAGGAGTAATAAGACAGAGATATTACACTTTCGCTGTCTTGAGGGGGTGACGTACGGGCTCCCTTCAGTTGCAACTCACAGATGCGATGCAAGAACGATATAAACACAAGTATTAACACTGATGAGTAGTAATGTTACACCGCACAGTAAGAACTCTTAACTGGGTAGTCACAAAGTTCAATTTTAATTAGTCACTATTAAGGAATTATTTAGAAAAAAGATGTACACGTCCACTTCCAACAACTCTCACACGGCGTATCCGAGATGGAGATGGGAACATTATTCCATGTGCGGCCTTGTAATGTTGCAGGCGGTGTGCCGCCATGAAATACTGTCCCGCTCTGCTGAGCACGCCAAGCTTTTTAGAGGCCAATTTGGCCTTCTCTTCCAAGTGACCACGAAACTGAACGTCACTCGATATGTCGACACCGAAGATTCCGATACTGGCTGAGGCAACAAGGGGAGTGCCTTGAAACTGAGGAGATACGACAAAGGGTTTTTTTTAGCGGTTAACGGGCAAACTTGAGTCTTCTGGGGGTTAAACTGGACTAGATTGATTTAGTCGCCCCTAATTCGAGACTCTGTTCAGCAAAGACTCGAATTCAGACACAAGTTTGTCCCGGCACTCGGAGACATTTTCCCAAGAAATATTGGCTCGGCCGGTGTAGAGAGCATCACCAGTGCTGTCATCTGCATAGCAATGAATGTTACGGGTTTGCAACATATCATTGATTGCAGAAGAAACAGCGTTTGCGATAGCACGCAGCCTTGTGGAACACCAGCATTAATAGGCTTGCAATCGGAGCTTGCACCGTCTACAACGACCTTGATGCTCCGATCTGCAAGAAAGCTGGTGATCCAATCGCACAATTTCTCGGAAAGCCCATAGGAAGGAAGCTTCAAAAGAAGCGCTTTGTGCCAAACCCGATCGATGGCCTTCGCAATGTCCAAACTAACGGCCAATGCCTCCCCCTTGGACTCTACTGCCTCCGCCCATCTGTGAGTTAGGTAGCCCAGAAGATCACCAGCTGACCGACCACGGCGAAAACCGTATTGGCGGTCACTAATCAGCTGGTGATCCTCAAGGTACCTCATAAGCTGGCAGTTAACAATTGACTATATTGTTTTGGAGAACAAGGTGATTGCGATAGGCCGGTATTAGGACGGGTCTGAGTGGTCGCCTTTTTTAGGGATCGGGTGGACGTAAGCCGTTTTCCATGATTTTGGGACTACGCCTAGGGAGTAGGAGTGCCGGAAAAGACGCGTTAAAACCGGTGCCAACTCTGGAGCACACGTCCTCAGCACAATTGGGGGGATTCCGTCAGATCCACTCGACTTGTGGATGTCCAGGGAGAGGAGTGCTTTGCGAACCGAGCGCTGTGTGAACTGCACTTCCGGCATGGAGCACTCACACCGGGGGATGGCCGGCGGCGTATTCCCCCCGTCATCGAGAGTCGAGTTGGACGCAAAGAAAGAGCCTAGAAGATCGGCTTTCTCCTTTGCGGTATGGGCCAGTGAGTCGTGCTCCCTGTGCAGAGATGGAAGAGTTGGCTGACAGAAATTCCAATGGACAGCCTTGGCGAGAGACTAGAATGCACGGGTTCCAGAAGGAAGGCGAACTAGTTTCTCGCCAATTCTGCCTATGTGCTCTGACTTTGCCTTGGCAATGACTCTTTTGAAAGACCTAGAGGCGGAATTATACTTCTTTTTTAGAGCGCTGGTGTTTACATCCCGGAACGCTGATGCGTCAGCCCAGGCTTGGTAGCACTCCTGCTTATGGCATGATGATATTTTACAGGAGCGACCAAACCATGGCTGAGATTTGGCTCCAATGGGCACGAAGTACCACATCAGCGACAGAATCCGCAACAACGTTGGGATCGTCCAGCGAGAAGCAAACCCACCCCCAAGGGTAGGATGCAAAGAAAGACCGCATCCTATCCCAATCGGTTGACCTATAGTGCCAAACACGGCGGCAGCCTGCAGAATGCAACTGCGATTTCAGCGTGAGTGGCACCACACTCCGGACAAGACAGCGATCCGAGGAGCCTAAAGGGGCGTCGACGGAAATCTGATATCCGTCCGGGTGAGAGGTCAGCAGAAGGTCCAACAGGGAAGGTGCGATCTCCACATCTAGAATCCGCGTAGGCGAAGTAACCAGTTGTGTCAGACCATATGCCAAGGCAAAATTATGAACAGATCTCCCCGCATGATCGGTTAAACGTGAAACAAGCCATTCGGCGTGATTAGAGTTAAAGTCGCCGAGGATCACGTTCTCTGCGGAGGGGATCTGCTGTAGCAACGAATCTGTAACCATTTGGACGTAGTCGATGAGTCAGTCTGTTTCGGCATTACCGCTATGGGACCTATAAAGGCACCCGTAGACGTGCGGATGGTCGTCGCTGTCTACGCGTAGCCAAAGGATGGCAGGTCCGAAACTTCAAGTCTACCGAGGCGTCGAGAACAGATGTCCTGTGACGTAAACGCAAACTCCAGCCCGAGGCACAAAGGAGTGTTCCAGTTTGTACCCCGGGTAGGAGAGATACGAGACATCAGCCGGAGAGGACACCTGCGTCTCGGTCAGAAAGAGCGGAGCCGGCCTCGCCGTCTCGAGATGGTAGTGGACGGCATTTAGGTTAGAGTGAAATCCCCTGATATTGCAGAAATTAACGGACATCGTGGCAGGGGTCGTCTTGGTCTTGTTGCTCCATTTGCCCCGAGCAGTTGTAGTCTTGAGTGGAATTTTGCCCCCCCCCCCCCCCCCCGAATACGCGGGGCAGCCTGAGCACTCACGCTCAAAAGTGGAGAAACATGGTCGTGGATGCTCAGCGAGGGATTCCCCAGGGGTGCTTGTACCCTCCTGGGATAGTCTATCATCATTTAATTCCGCTACCATGTTAATGGGGGGCGGGGGGATTTGGGCCTCCTCCCCTCTTCAATTAATCCTATAAATATAAAAAAACGAGATTTTCTACTGAACTCACCAGGTTTGCAAGTTACTTACTCGCTACTATACTTGTCGAAGTGGAAATCGATCTTTACGTTTTAATTAAGACCTACATACTTTTTGCTTGCGGCCATCGACACCATGATTGAAACGTTTGTGGTCCTTATAAAAAAAGGTTGAGTATGGCTGCATTAAACCATCTCTTAATATAATTAATATAAATATAACAAATATCCCAGAAAGAAACATTAATACTTACAATATTTCTAATTTATTTTTATAAAACTAGTATTCAGATGTTTGGTGTTGCTACGAGAGCGGCACTGAAAATTTCGGGCATCAAGGAAGTGATACATTACTATTTAAAAATGTATTTATTGCTTTTCGAAGTATTCTCCACGAAATTTAACACATTTTTCCATACCATGGAACCAATCATTGAAGCAACCATTCCATTCGGAAGTTAGGGTCTCTAAAATGGCCGTTTTGTAGGCGTCCACAGCTTCTTCAGGTGATGAAAATCTCTGTCCACGCAAATTATTCTTTAATTTAGGGAAAGTATAGAAATCATTAGGGCTTAGGTCGGAGCTGTACGGCGGATGGGCTAATAATTCTATGTTTTCTTGCTCTAAAAACTCTTTTGTTCTGTGTGCGATGTGAGAACTCGCATTGTCGTGATGGAGGATGATGCGGCGGTTGCAGTTCTCTTTACGGAGTTCAGAAACGACCTGTGGCAAACAAATGCTAGTTGGTAAACAAATGCCAAATGTAATTAGAGACAAACGTGGCCATCATTTTTTTGAACGAACAATTTTTGTTGGCTTTAACTCATTTTCGAACACCCAAACTCGTGACTGGTTATTTGTTTCGGGTTCGTACGCGTATATCCAGGATTCGTCACCCGATACGATGTTGTATACAGCATTTGAGGATCCTGCGTGGAATCTTTCGAGAGTTCTGACGCACCAAGTAACGCGAGCCGCTTTTTGCTCTTCACAGAGCGAATGCGGTATCCATCGGGAAAACAACTTTTTTACACCTAATTGTTCATACAAGATTATTTGTATTTGACTCATGCCAATGTCTAAAGTTGCCTGAATTTCGCGGTATGTCACATGTCGATCTTCCTCAATCAGCTTACGCACAGCATCAACGTTTTCTTGGGTGACTGCAATTGATGGACGACCTTGATGGGGATCATCACTGAGCTTGACACGTCCACGTTTAAATTCAGCAAACCAGCGATAAATTGTGGTTTTGGATGGGGCTTCATCACTAAATGCAGAAATTATCCGGTCAACACTGTTTTTGTGTTAAACCGCTTCGAAAGTCATAATAAATCATCGCTCTTGAATTTCTGGAGTCAATTCCATTTTCTCAACGACTGAACAAGTTTGACAAGACCGAGAATCTTTTTTTAAATAAATAAATGGTATTCGATTTTTAAAACCAGGGAGTTTTCAAATAAAAAGATTTTAATATGACAGGAACAGTGGAAATATTTCATTCCCGGTACTTTTAGTGCAGCCCTCGTAATTTAACTTGACTCCAAACTATGGTTCATACTATCCAGTAGCGGAATGTTTTGGACTATTTAAAATTCATTTTTTATTTTTAATTTAAATTTTAATTTTAATCGTTATATTACTCGGAAAGTTAAGTTAAAATAAAAAACTAAGAAATTGGATATTTTAGCTTTATTGCAATCAAAACCAATTGATGTTATTTTGGATCGATCATACAATATAATTACAACTTTGTAGATGTTGGCAATTTCTTCCCAAGAATATTTCAGTGAATGAAATGGGGCATGTAGTGGGATGACGCTCATCCCAAGGGCTGATCTCATTGGGACGTGAGCAAGGTGAGCTTCTCGTTCAGCTGCAGCTGAGTCTTAATTAACTGCGCCAAGGTCACCACCTGAAGATTAATTTGAAAAAATTCAAGATCACATCAAATATTCTAATAGTATAAAATTTTACAAAATATAATTTAAATTATAATACTCAAACGTTACTCAATTTTTATCATTTAATTATTTAATAGTGTGGCCATATAACACAGCACTGCTAAGTTAGGAAGGGTGTCTCTCTCCTCTCTACTCCAGAAGCTGCAACGTTCGCCAGTAGCCGCAGCTGCAGCTGCAACGTGCACTCGCGTACCATGAGCAGGTCCTTGACGCTGGAGGCGAAGGCTGCGGCCAGCGCGTCGGCGGCCAGGCTGGGCAGCGAGTGCGCCAACTGCAGCAGCCACAGCTGCAACGTGCACTCATGCACCATGAACAGGTCCTTGACGCTGTAAGCGAAGGCTGCGGCCAGCGCGTCGGCGACCAGGGTGAGCAGCGAGTGCGCCAGCTGCAGCAGCCGCAGCTGCAACGTGCACTCATGCACCATGAACAGGTCCTTGACGCTGTAGGCGAAGGCTGCGGCCAGCGCGTCGGCGACCAGGGTGGGCAGCAAGTGCGCCAGCTGCAGCAGCCGCAGCTGCAAAGTGCACTCATGCACCATGAACAGGTCCTTGACGCTGTAGGCGAAGGCTGCGGCCAGCGCGTCGGCTTCCAGGCTGGGCAGCGAGTGCGCCAACTGCAGCAGCCACAGCTGCAACGTGCACTCACGTACCATGAGCAGGTCCTTGACGCTGGAAGCGAAGGCTGCGGCCAGCGCGTCGGCATCCAGGCTGGGCAGCGAGTGCGCCAGCTGCAGCAGCCACAGCTGCAACGTGCACTCATGTACCATGAGCAGGTCCTTAACGCTGGAAGCGAAGGCTGCGGCCAGCGCGTCGGCTTCCAGGCTGGGCAGCGAGTGCGCCAGCTGCAGCAGCCACAGCTGCAACGTGCACTCATGTACCATGAGCAGGTCCTTAACGCTGTAAGCGAAGGCTGCGGCCAGCGCGTCGGCATCCAGGCTGGGCAGCGAGTGCGCCAGCTGCAGCAGCCACAGCTGCAACGTGCACTCACGTCACCATGAGCAGGTCCTTGACGCTGGAAGCGAAGGCTGCGGCCAGCGCGTCGGCTTCCAGGCTGGGCAGCGAGTGCGCCAGCTGCAGCAGCCACAGCTGCAACGTGCACTCATGTACCATGAACAGGTCCTTAACGCTGGAAGCGAAGGCTGCGGCCAGCGCGTCGGCGTCCAGGCTGGGCAGCGAGTGCGCCAGCTGCAGCAGCCACAGCTGCAACGTGCACTCATGTACCATGAGCAGGTCCTTGACGCTGGAAGCGAAGGCTGCGGCCAGCGCGTCGGCATCCAGGCTGGGCAGCGAGTGCGCCAGCTGCAGCAGCCGCTGCTGCAACTTGCACTCATGTACCATGAGCAGGTCCTTGACGCTGGAGGCGAAGGCTGCGGCCAGCGCGTCGGCGGCCAGGGTGGGGAGCGAGTGCGCCAGCTGCAGCAGCCACAGCTGCAACGTGCACTCACGTACCATGAGCAGGTCCTTGACGCTGGAGGCGAAGGCTGCGGCCAGCGCGTCGGCGTCCAGGGTGGGCAGCGAGTGCGCCAGCTGCAGCAGCCGCAGCTGCAACGTGCACTCATGTACCATGAGCAGGGCCTTGACGCTGAAGGCGAAGGCAGCGGCCAGCGCGTCGGCGACCAGGGTGGGCAGCGAGTGCGCCAGCTGCAGCAGCCGCAGCTGCAAAGTCCACTCGCGTACCATGAGCAGGTCCTTGACGCTGGAGGCGAAGGCTGCGGCCAGCGCGTCGGCGGCCAGGCTGGGCAGCGAGTGCGCCAGCTGCAGCAGCCACAACTGCAACGTGCACTCATGTACCATGAGCAGGTCCTTGACGCTGGAGGCGAAGGCTGCGGCCAGCGCGTCGGCTTCCAGGCTGGGCAGCGAGTGCGCCAGCTGCAGCAGCCACAACTGCAACGTGCACTCATGTACCATGAGCAGGGCCTTGACGCTGTAGGCGAAGGCAGCGGCCAGCGCGTCGGCGACCAGGGTGGGCAGCGAGTGCGCCAGCTGCAGCAGCCGCAGCTGCAAAGTACACTCGCGTACCATGAACAGGTCCTTGACGCTGTAGGCGAAGGCTGCGGCCAGCGCGTCGGCGGCCAGGGTGGGGAGCGAGTGCGCCAGCTGCAGCAGCCGCAGCTGCAACGTGCACTCATGCACCATGAGCAGGTCCTTGACGCTGGAGGCGAAGGCTGCGGCCAGCGCGTCGGCGTCCAGGGTGGGCAGCGAGTGCGCCAGCTGCAGCAGCCGCAACTGCAAAGTACACTCGCGTACCATGAGCAGGTCCTTGACGCTGCAGGCGAAGGCAGCGGCCAGCGCGTCGGCGGCCAGGGTGGGCAGCGAGTGCGCCAGCTGCAGCAGCCGCTGCTGCAACTTGCACTCATGTACCATGAGCAGGTCCTTGACGCTGGAGGCGAAGGCTGCGGCCAGCGCGTCGGCGGCCAGGCTGGGCAGCAAGTGCGCCAGCTGCAGCAGCCGCAGCTGCAAAGTACACTCGCGTACCATGAGCAGGTCCTTGACGCTGCAGGCGAAGGCTGCGGCCAGCGCGTCGGCTTCCAGGCTGGGCAGCGAGTGCGCCAGCTGCAGCAGCCACAGCTGCAACGTGCACTCACGTACCATGAGCAGGTCCTTAACGCTGGAAGCGACGGCTGCGGCCAGCGCGTCGGCATCCAGGCTGGGCAGCGAGTGTGCCAGCTGCAGCAGCCGCTGCTGCAACTTGCACTCACTTACCATGAGCAGGTCCTTGACGCTGGAGGCGAAGGCTGCGGCCAGCGCATCGGCGGCCAGGCTGGGGAGCGAGTGCGCCAGCTCCAGCAGTTCGCGGCCGGCCGCGTTGTGCGGCGCCGCGCGCTCCGCCAGCACGTCCTCCACGTACTGCAGCACCTGCACCAGCACCGCACACGATCCACACACTAATAAGTACATGTTGAGGCACATACGCACTTACAGCTCGTGCGAATAAACAATGGGATTAGAAATGGCGACTCGCCGAGTCTGTACTATCATCATATACGGTACGTTAAGCAAAAGCAGTGCTTTAAAGTTACATCGTTATATTACAAATAACGATATTGTATTTTATTAATATTGTTACGAGCTTAGGGTTCGTGACAATAAAACTGCCGATTGAATTACCAAAATTAACACTTTAATTACCAAACACCAAGTAAAACTTAAAAGACACTAATAATTAATCACACTGATTCACTTTATTTCGCTCCGAAGCTTCGCTTGTATCACCAAATTCAATACTGCCCCAGTGGCGGGCTTAAACGACTTTATGTACGCCTTTTTCACCGAAACATCTAGAATATTCCAACAAATACCGGCCCCCAATCGACCAGCTGCAGAAAGTTCGAGTGTTTAGCTTTCCAGAAAGCTTAGTTCTTCTATTCGATACTAGATGGCGCTGTTGGTTGAAAGTTCAGTCATGGCATTTTATGGAAAGTTCTTCTCGCTCTGTTCCCCGACACTAGATGGCGCTAGTGCCAGGTACCAGACATCAACTTAGGCGCGCAACACTGCCCCCTCCTAAGACAGCTCCTCCCGAGCATTACCTGCCCTATCATAACGCGCCAGGCGATCCACATGGACGATCTTAGGAGTACCTCTTGCACCTATCTGAAACGGCTCCGCAACGTCAAGGAGTGACTAGGGTAACTAAATGGGTCTCTACCCTCACCATACAGCACACAGTAGCACTAAGGCCGATTACGAAGCGACTGACCTTGCTCGTTTCGTCTATCGGATATCACGTGCGTTAGCTCCGTACGAGTGCGCTAGCTCGGTATGCAGAGTAATGAATAACAAAGAGAGCATTGATAGTTTGGTAGTTCCTATAGATTATAAATTCTGGACTTTATTCGTTACAAACATACAAAAATAATAATCTTTCCTCTTTATAATATTAGTATAAATTATAAGTTCTGTAAAGTAAAATTATTCTGTAAAGAATAGTTATTGAATTGACATCGATTTTTTCTGAATTGACGCATCGTACGTAAAAAAAGTCACGTAACTGAAAATGTTTGTTCTTGTGCGTCTTACAAGATGCCGTAATCCAAATTGCATAAATAATAAAGAAAAAAACAAAGTCCCTGTTAATTGGTTTGTGAAATATTCAATTTGAAAAAATAAAAGACGTGGTATTCCAAAGCGGGAAGTTCCAGGGAGGCCTGCAGGATCAATCAATTTTTTTGTTATGGACTCATACTATTCTACTTTTGCTAGAATCAAGTAATAAGAAATGAATAACTGTTGCTGCTTTATGTGTAACATAATATGCTTGTGACATATATAAAACTATACAATAGCACAAACAAAAAGTAATGTAATATCTGTATTATATAAGCGTATCTACATATTTAGATTTCCATTGAGTGCAGTATAAAAACAATTGAAATGTAAAAGTACCTGATCAAGAAGTCCCGAGAGTTTGGAAGCGGCCTCAGCGACTTGTGCCAGATCTAACATGGGTTGCACCTGGCGCGACCGACCGTTTGGCGCCATTGTTTTCTGACACAGTTGTAGACCCACAATCTGAACATACAAAATAACATGCAATTATGTTGTATAATTACGATACTAAAAAAAGGAAATTGTTATGTGTACTGTGAACAGTGTTAACATACATATTATTTTACATAACATATACATAAACACTCACGACTGTCACCCAGAGGGGTAGGCAGAGACTACAGACTTCCATTTAGCACGATCCTGACATACCTTTCTCGCCTCTTCCACATCCATACACCTACGCATACATGCTCGTCGGTTAAGGGTACTCTTAATTTGGCCCATTTTTAGTATATCTCCAATTTGGTCGACAAACTTCTGCTTAGGACGTCCCTTTCCGACTCTTCCATTCACTTCTGCAACATATATTTGCTTTGTCAGTCTTTCCGCATTCATTCTTTCTACATGACCAAACCACCGAAGCATTCCTTTCTTAATCCTGGTCACCGCATCGCCTTGCAAACCACACTCTTCTTTTATCACACTGTTTCTCACCCTGTCACTCAGATTCAGCCCTAACATACTCCTTAGCGACCGCATTTCTACTGCATTTATTCTACTCTCGTGCTTCTTCTGCCACACCCAACTTTCACTACCATACGTTAAAGTAGGGACTAATACAGCACTGTGAATTGCCATACGTGCCTTTTTTGACACATTCTGACTTTTCACAATAGAGTGTAGAGCCCCATTTACTTTATTTCCTGCATTCACTCGTCGTTCAATATCCTTATCATATCTCCCATCCCTGCTGAATACACATCCCAAATATACGAACTCATCCACTTGCTCAATTAACTCTCCTTCTATTCTTATTTCACATACCGTTTTGCTTTCATCTCTTTCAAAAACCATCACTTTCGTCTTACTTGCGTTCACTTTCATTCCCCTGTTCTTTAATGTAATCATCATTTGCAACTCGGCCGCCGACGACGCAAGTATGACTTGATCATCGGTGTACAAGAGGCATTTGATGGTTAACTCACCCATTCTTAACCCGCATTCTTCAACTTCCAAATTTTCCAAACAGCTGTCCATAAATAGGTTGAACAGCCACGGGGAAGCTACACAGCCCTGTCTGACACCTTTATGGATGCCAAACCAGTCCGAGTAGACCCCGTTGATTCTAGCACACGTGCCTTTTTTGACACATTCTGACTTCACAAAAGAGTGTAGGGCCCCATTTACTCTATTTCCTGCGTTTACTCGTCGTTCTATATCCTTATCCTATATAACATCCCTGCTAAATACGCAACCAAAATATACAAACTCATCTACTTGCTTGATCAATTCCCCTTCTATTCTTTTTTCACATATCGTTTTACTTTCTTCTCTTTCGAAAACCATAACCTTCGTCTTACTTGCGTTCACTTTCACACCTCTTTCTTTTAATGATCAGTTCATTAATGTAACCACCATTTGCAACTCAGCCGCCGACGACGCAAGAATAACTTGATCATCGGCGTACAAAAGGCATTTGACGGTTAACTCACCCATTCTTAATCCGCATTCTTCAACTTTCAAATTTTCCAAACAACTGTCCATAAATAGGTTGAACAGCCACGGGGAAGCCACACAGCCCTGTCTGACACCTTTATGGATGCCAAACCAGTCCGAGTAGACCCCGTTGATCCTAACACAAGCACAAGAGTCCCTATAAAGAGACTCCAATGCCCGTATCAAGCCAGCGCTCAACCCAAATGTGTTCAGTGTTTGCCATAGCACATCTCTATCCACTCTGTCATAGGCCTTTCCCAAGTCCATGAACGCGCAAAAAACCTTTTGGTTTTTGGCCAAAAACTTCTCCGCGATCATGTGCATGTAAGACTTGATCTGTACATCCCATTCCCTTTCTAAATCCCGCTTGCACATCCCAAATTTTTCCATCAGTTTCTTTCATAACTCTTTCAATTCCTTAGCATACAGTTTTCCCACAATGCTAAGAAGGCTGATACCACGGTAGTTTTTACAGTCCTGCTGTGACCCTTTTCCCTTATATATTGGGACTATCACGGCTTTGCACCAGTCTCCCGGTACCCGCTTTAGTTCCCTAATGACCCTTTCAATTAGTACCTTAGCATACAGTTTTCCCACAATGCTAAGAAGGCTGATACCACGGTAGTTTTTACAGTCCTGCTGTGACCCTTTTCCCTTATATATTGGGACTATCACGGCTTTGCACCAGTCTCCCGGTACCCGCTTTAGTTCCCAACATAAATTAAACAAGGTGTACAGCAGGCCTGCCACCACTTCCTCTCCAGCCCTTAGCATTTCAAGTGAAACTCTATCATATCCGGCTGCCTTACCTTCTTTCATGCTTTTCATTGCTTTCATTATTTCATCTATACTTATCTCCCTATCTCTTTCATCTTCTTTCGGAATTTCTATTTCATTTAGTTCACACTTCTCTTCACTCATAAATACGCTTTCAAAATATTCCTTCCATCTCTTTAGACTCAACACTTCATCATTCAGGATACAGCTATTCTCGTCTCGTATCGCATTCAATCTAGGCTGTTTTGAAAGTCCCCTGGTATTTCTTACGAGTTTCCAGAACATTTTAATATTTGCCTGGAAGTTATCCGATATTCTTCTATCATTCTTATCCGTTCCTTCTTGCTTTTTCCTTTCAACTAATTCTTTTACTCTCCTATTTAAACGTTTAAACTCTGCCTTTTTTTTCATTCTCATCATTCTTACCGCCAGAATTACCAGCTTTGGTCGCTAGTAAATCTAGCCATGCTCTCTTCTTTGCTTCAACTTCCATACGTACCTCATCATCCCACCATAACGTATTGTCTTTCCTTTCATTCGTTCTCTTACTAACACCACATACTTCGGTAGCTGCATCCACTAAACCTTTCTTAACATTATGCCACACATTCTCCAAGTCTAACTCATTCACACACAACTCATCCAAATTACTTATATTTTCTCTGTCTGCATTTGTACTTGTCTTTCACATCTTCATCTTGTAACCTCTCAATTCTTATACGCTGTAACGCAGTGGTAGACACAAATGTCCTATGCCGCCAACGTCTGAATAAACCCCTAATTCGGCATAAGACCAGGTAGTGGTCCGTCCCTATATTGGACCCCCGGTAAACCCTTGTATCCACCACTGCTCTCCTCATTCTTTCATCCACAGTTATGAAATCTATCATGCTTTTATCATCACCTCTTTCCCAAGTATACATGTGAATCTTCTTATGACGAAAGAAAGTGTTCGTCACAAAAAGATTCCTTTCCACACATACGGTGAGGAGGCTTTCACCATTCTCATTTATACTTTCATCACCAAACGTTCCCAATATCCTTTCATAACCAAGCCTCCTCACCCCAACCCTTCCATTAAAATCTACTAGCATAATAACATTTTCATTTCCCTTACACTTCATTAACACCATCCTTACCATTTCCCAAAACTGCTCCCGGATACAAGTGGGCTTAGACATGTCTGGGGCGTAGACCCCTAACACAAAAAACTCCTTTAAGCCCACTTTCATTCGTATCCATAGCAGTCTTGGGCTTACACATTCATACTCTTTCACACATTGGCCCATTCTTTCTGAAAGGATGATACCTACTCCCTGGCATGCCCGCTCGATCTCGTCTACACCAGACCAGTATGCGGTATACATGCCATGTGCAGTGACATCCTTCCCCTTCCTTTTCGTCCCATTTACACATAATACATCCATTCCTCTATCATACATCATATCGCATACTTTATCCATTTTATCATTCATTGCCCCACATACATTCAACGTAGCCAGACGGGCCTCTGCAATCCACTTTTCGCCTCTCTGGGAGACAGAACGTGACGGGTGGCGAACCTCGTCGCCGGTTTTCCTCCCGGAGATTCTTCGCACCCCTGCCCCATTACAGGGGCGCCGGGAACTCGGGGGCCATTTCTTTTACTTTTTGTCTCATGGTGCGAAAATTAGGTGTGTGGCATATTTTACGCCGCTACCACAGGGCGAGTAGCAGAGTCTGTTCTTTCGGCTTTGTCGCTCTTTTAGCACTACCTGGGGGAAACGTGTAGGGTGGGCCTAGGATTAGGTGGTCGAACCTACGGACGCGAGCGACTTATCCCCCCTATATTATTTTAAGGATGATCATATCGCTATATTTCTTTATTTACCCCTCTGTAACGATAAGTTATTATTATTATTCGCTATATAAATCGATATTGTTTAAAAAGGTAAAGTATCGATATAAATATCGATACCGCATTTATCTATGACCAATTGTCTTTGAGAACTGTTATAGCGGATCTTAGGATTTTTTCATTCATTCGTTCCTGTATAGGATAGTTAATAGTTATATATTCTTTGTTCATTCCATAGACGAGCGCATTCGTGTTGTAATCTCCAAGAGAGTAACTTGTGTAGAATAAATCTGTGTCAATCTTTTAAATCCGAGTTTATTTTATTACTCTAAAAGTGAACTTTACATCTCAGAAGTGGGATAAATAAGACCCATAGTGTATTATTATACTAAAATTCAAGTGTTTACGTTTTTTTTCCACGTGTCATTTTCACGACAATTTAAAAAATAAATATGAATAACGAAATAGAAAACGACAATGCTCGTAGGAAGTCATGGTCACGTCATCGCAAGAGAAAAAATTCTCACCGTGAGTCAGAAAGTATATCCACGCATAAAAAACATCATAAAAATCGCCGTGACAAAGAATCGAACAAAAAGCGATGTAATACACATTCTACGGACTCAGATGGAAGCGATCAAGATAATGTCACTCGTCGTCAACGCGCGAGATTAAGTGAAAGTGGAAGACGTGAAAACAAATTAAGAGGAGAACGTCATTGTCGCACACCAACTCCAACTAGAAGCGGAACTCCTTGTCGCGAATCGGCGGGTGGTAGTTGTACACGCGGACGAAGATCCCGTAAGCGTCATCGTGGTGATGTACAAGAGGATCTCCAGCAGCCACCTGTGTCTGAAGGAACAAGAGAAACGTCGCGTCGCAAGCCATCGACTAAAGCAGGTAGGGATAG